TAATGTGGTTTTCCTGATTATAAAGTGAGTGGTAATGATGGAAATACTCAAGATTTCAGACAAAAGCAAAAAAGAAATAAAAATCACTTGGAATCATACTATCCAGAGATTAAAGAGATAATCTAAAGAAGAAATTGAAGTCATGTAATTCTACTTCTACTTTTTTTTTTGGTGGGGGGGGGGGTTTAGGGGGAGGGCAGGTCCGGGCTTGACTCCATGGCCTAGGTGCTATCCCTGAGCCTCTTTGTGCTCAAGGCTAGTGCTCTACCACTTGAGCCACAGTGCTACTTCTGGCTTTTTCTGAGTAGTTAATTAGAGATAAGAGTCTCATGGACTTTCCTACCTGGTCTGGCTTCAAACCTCAGATCTCAGCCTCCTAAGTAGATAGGATTACAGGCGTGAGCCACGGGTGCTTGCTACCACTGTTAATATATATCCTGGATGCTATAAATTTAAATTTTACTTCAAGGGAATCACACCATGATATTGTTTTAAAATCTTCCTTTGGGAAAAAAAAAAAGGCAGCTGGGCGCTGGTAGCTCACACTTGTAATCCTAGCTGTTCAGGAGGCTGAGATCTGAGTATGTTGGTTCAAAGCCAGACCAGGCAGGAAAGTCCGTGAGATCCTTATGTCCAATAAAACCACCAGAAAACTAGAAGTGGCGCTGTGGCTCAAATGGTAGAGTGCTAGCCTTGAGCTGAAGAGCTGAGGGACGGTGCCCAGGCCCAGAGTTCAAGCCTCGCAATTGGAAAAAAAAAAAAAAAAAGCAAAGACCAATATAAGAATATCCATAGCTATATATTTAATATCTCATTTTAGTAGCTCCAAAATTTTTCTAATCATCAGAAACTTACTTGGTAAAACGTGTATGTGTGTGTACACCAATATCAGGGCTTGAATATCCATGTATTTTTATATAATGTCTATCTGTATATTTTTAAAAGTCCTAGGAAAAGATGTACTTTTAATATGAAAAGGGACTTACCTGAGTGGTTTATTTCCCACTTTATAATTTTCTTTTCAAGTAATTCTCCCCACAATAACTGCAGCTAATGTTTTGGCATATTACTTTGTTCCATATTTTGTCACATTACACTTTAAACAGTGTTATTCTAAGTCATCATTGGAATCGTGCTGTGCATAGGGCCTTACATCCTAACTCAAGCACCTGCTGTTGTCGGTGGGCCCTCACCAGTGGCTGGAACATTTTTCATGCAGGGTGGTGACATTTTTCACCCCTCTACTGTGGACTGTTCAGGTTGTTTCTGGGCTTTCACAGTTTGTCGGTAATGCTAACAAGATTTGTGAACTTGAGTTAACTTGTTTCTATTCCTTGGGTTCAATTCTAGAAGGATTGGCACTGAATCAGAAAGTATAGCGTTTGTAAGGCTGACATTCATATGAACAAACTGGTTTTAGGAATTTCCCTTTGTTATTAACAGTCTCCTGCTCATTAGTTATAATAAAACAAGGACTACAGCTGTTAGTTTCTGTCTAAAGCAAACCTTTTTGGCATTTTTCCTAAAAATAGTTATAAACAATTATTGCAAGTAATATATCTAAATATAATTTTGCCAGAAGATTCAAATAATTTTAAATTAAAAATGATCGATGGCATTGTAGAAAAATCTAAATAAGACAAAGGAAAGAATTCCTAATAGAGCCACCATTTTGTCAAATCTTTCTCACTCCCTTTTTTCTGTGCATTTTATATAGCTAGAACAAAAGTATTTATCACATGTTTCTTTGTTGGTTTGGCAGTGCTGGGGCCTGAACAACAGGTGCTCTACTCTTTGAGCCATGCCCCTGGCCTGGTATCTTGTGTTTTATTTAGCATTTGATTGTAAGCATTTCTTCCATACTCCTGTGCAGTCTTCATTAACTGTCATTTGACTGATTACAAATTGTTCAATTGGTGTTGTTTACCACAATTCAGCTTACCATTCCTGTATTGAATAATTAGATCATTTCTAAGTTTCTGCTTCCCTAACCATGGTGAAGGTGGGCTATTTCAAATTCCCAAAGTCTGTGGGCTGGGTGTACATTTAAATTCTCATTCAATCAGGGTTCCTCTGGTTCCTCCTAAATTAGTCTTGATTATCAAAATTTCATCTTGGGCTGGGAATGTTGTTTAGTGGTAGAATGCTCACCTAGCATGCACAAAGCCTTGAGTTCAGTTCCTCAGTACCACAAACAGAAAAGGCCGGAAGTGGTGGTGCGTGGCTCCAGTGGTAGAATACTAAGCAAAAGAAGCTCAGGGACAGTGCGCCGGCCTTGAATTTAAGCTTGAGTTCAGGACTGGCAAAAAACAAAAAACTTCATCTTAATGGCCTTGCAAAAATCAGCCTACTCCTGGCAGAGCACCCTAGGGTACCCCGTGTCCTCAGTAACGGGACTGACTTGTCCACAGAGCCAGCCTCCCAGGGTTCCAGAAGTTTCAGCCTGAGAACTCAGACAGCACTTTCTTAAGTCCTGCTTTGATACAGCAATGAGTCCCAGTCACAGAGCCTTTTATTCCACAGCCTTAGCCAACCAAGAAAGAAAATACACAGGCAAGGAATTATTACCAAATATTTTCCTTCTTTCCTTCCCTACCTCCCTTCCTTCCCCCCTCTCTCTACTTGCTCTCTTTCCTTCCTTCCCTCTGCTCTGCTTCTTGTCTTTTTCCCTTTCCTTTCTTCCTTCTTTCCTTCCTCTACTTGCTCTCCTTCCTTCCTTCCTTCCTTCCTTCCTTCCTTCCTTCCTTCCTTCCTTCCTTCCTTCCTTCCCTCTCTCCCTTCCTCCATACTTCATCTCTCCCTTTCTCTTTCTTCCTTCCGCTCTGTCTCTTTCTCTTTGTTTGTTTGTTTCTTTCTCCTCCTTCCTTCCTTCCCTCCCTCCATCCCTCCCTCCCCTCTCTCTCCCCTTTTTTTCTTTCCTTCCTTCTCCTAAGGAAAACAGAATTGACAGTTTACAAATAGGTCTGTTGACAGGAGCCGTGTGGTTATCAGCATGCACGCTCGAACCTGCAGCCTCAGGTTGTGTGAGTGAGCACTAGCATGCCCCCCCCCCACACTTCTCCAGCATTTCCGCTTGGCCTAAAGGCTGGCTTCACTCCTCTATCAATATGCCCTGCCTGTTCACTGCTGCCAAGCCTCTAGCACTTAAATGTGCCTGCTCCCTTCTCTTTGTTCTAGAAGCTTGTTTGGTTTTTCACCTACCCCTTTCTCCATCATCCCCACCCAATGTAGCATTTGACTTTCTACTGTCTACATGTTTATTTAAAGAACATCCCCTCTTGCCTCTACCCAGAGAAACTGAGAGAATGTTAACCCTTTATATGGACAAAGAATCCTTCTTAGGCTTTTCTGCCCATCCTGCGTGAGCGAGGACGCTTTATGCCCGGAGGTTTCAGGCATGCCTCGTCTCAATGGGTCATTCATGATGTCCAAGAGAAACACTGGTGGGCTGTATTTCATGTGCAGTGGCAGCGGGGCCGCTCCTGGCTGGCCCGCCCTCAGTCCTGGGAAGGTGCCCCCCCCAGTCAGGTGTCCTCAGGCTCCACCTCCAAAGTGTAGCTGCTACATCCCAGTATGCAGGCCAGACCAGGCCAGGCAAGCAGAGCCGTGTGAGCCCCGGTGCAGGGGCCTGCTGCGCGCTTCTTTTCTCCACTTCTCATTTGAGTTGCAGCCATGTGTGCCTGGTTCCTGGAGCCTGCAGGAGCTCATGAGCATAGCTCAGAGCTAGCTTTCTTCAGGGCTCTGTCTCCTTGCAGGAGTGCTGGGAGCACTGGTTATTGCAAACTCTGCTCAGCCTGAATTCAGCTCTGCCCTATCCCTGCCCTACACTCAAGTAAAAAAGGAGCTTTTCCAAAGAGAGTCTGCCAGCTGTTCTGAGAGATGGGCAAGCCTGAGTTTTGCTGTTTGATATTCCCTGCCAGGAAGTACCTCTTCTCAGCACAGTGCTAGATCAGCAACTACTGGGAAGGTGAAGGAAAAAGAAAAACACTGAATATGGAGTTCAAATATGGAGAATCAGCCAGGTGCTGGTAGTTCACGCCTGCAATCCCAGCTACTCAGGAGGCTGAGATCTGAGGGTTATTATTTGAAGCCAGCCTGGGGAGAGGGAGGGGACGGTTGACGGAGAGACTCTGTGAAGTGGACCTGTGGTTCAAGTGGTGGAGCTTTCGCCTTGAGCAAAAACAAAACGAGCGAGAGCGTGAGGCCCTGGGCTCAAGCCCTAGCACCAAATCAACAATAAAAATAACATTTGGAGAGTGGAGGCTGGAGGAAATTCTTATAAGGAATGAATTTTGTCTCTGTGGGGTTTCCCCCGATTTTCATTTTGGAAAAATAAAACACTAATATTGACTGTGACCTGTTTAGTGGTGACAGTATTCTTTCTGCCTGCTATTCTTTCTGCTTTCTGCCTGTTTGTGTTCTTTTAAACAAAACAGTTTTAAAAGCAAAGTCAGAGTCTACAATGATCCAAGGTTCTCGTGAGTTCTCAGAAGGTGTGGATTTATTTACTACAGTTAAAACATAATTAGTTCTCAGGGGATAGTGGGCCTTTTAAACAGCTTTATTACCACCGGATTGGTTTCCTGAATAATCAGAAACTTCTGCTACGGTTGTAGACTAGTGTTTGAACAGAAAAGGCTCCGTAAGTAGAAACAAATGTCAGGAATTGCCTGTTGTCACTTGAAGACGGTACAACGTAGTAGCACAAGAGCCGAGAAAGAAGGGACAGAATATTCCAAAGGAAAGCTATCTGACCAGGTCTCAGTAAGCTGAACCGCAGCTCCTCACACACTTATTTGCCTTTAAGTGGTGTCTGCTTCTTCCCTTTGCAGTCCCAGGTCATTGTCCCTCCGGGCTGCACATCCCTGCCACCTGTTAAAACCCCGCCTGCCCTTCCTGGGGCATTGACTCACACCAACCCCACCGCCTTCTCTCTGAGCCCCTGGTCCCTCCTCAGCATGGCCCTGTTCTGGCTGACCAGTTTTTCCCACCGTTCCTAGGTTGATGTTTGAGATGCCCCAGGAAATGGGTTTAATCGCCATTGCAGTCCGGCAGACCCAGGGCAAAGGTCAGTCGTCTTTTGTTATCTGCTGTTATTTTTCTTTCCCCAAATCTGTGATTCTAGTAGCCAAAGAGCCCGATGTCTGAGGGAGGGTAGCCTGAGAAGACTGAAGTGGGGAGCTTTGCTGCTTTCATGGCCTGCTGCTGAAACAGAGCCAACGGGAAGGAAGAACCTTGGGAAGAGCTGCGGGGAGAGCGTGGCGCCGCTCATACTCTGCTTGGTGTGAGCCACTCAGCATTTGCTGGTGATGGTTTCAGTGCCCAGTCTCTACATTCTCTCCTATGTCCTGGGCTTCGCAGCTTGAGACTAAGCCAGTTCTAGAGACATTTATTTCCCAGGAGGTCCTCTTGGAGGGGCTCCATGTATCTGTAGTGTCACTTGGAGGAGGCTCTTGTTGGCTGTTCCTTAGACTGCTTTGAAATGTACATGCAGAGGGGCATTGACAGTACCCATCACCAAGTGACCAGGGAGATGCTGAACGCTGCTCTGGGAGGTGACTTGGCGCTTTCTTCCCAGGGCGGTGCTGGTGGTGACAGGGGTCAGAGGGAGCATTGTCACAGAGCCCTGCCAGTCCCTGCCCTCCCAAACCTCAGCCGATTCCAGGCCGCCCAAGAACGTCAGCTGGGAAACCCTCATGGCTTCTCAGAAGCAGAGGAGTAAGGAGTCTCCTGTTTTCCTCTTCTTTCCCTTGAACCTAAAGAGGAAAAGAAGGATTGTATCAAACTCTGTGGTATTTGATATTGTAGATTAAAAAAAAAAAACTCTAAACAAACTTGGGTTCATTATACCTCTCCTATTGTGTTGGTCTGGCTTCAGGTTTTAGGACAAACAACTCAGTGGGTGTCAGAGGTCACTTTCTAAAAACAGCTCTGGAGGTAATATCCACAGACCATAGCAGATTTAAAACATGCAGCTCAGGATTTGGACACTTAACAAGTGCATGAAGCCCCGGGTTCCATCTTTAACACCAAAAAAACATTTTTGGTGATACTTATAAGGTTTGAACTCAAGGGCTGTGATCTTGGCCTGCACTCTACCACTTAAACCATACCTTCCACCTTTTTGCTTTAGTTATTCTTCAAATGAGGTCTTGCATTTGTGCCCAGACTTGCATGGATCCCGATCCCCCTTCTTTACCCTTCCTGCATAGCTGGATGACAGATGTGCACTCATCATACCCAGCTTTTAGTGACTCAGATGAAGTCTCATCACCTTTTTGCCCAGGCCAGCTTTGAACTGAGATCTCTGCCATTCAGGTAACTAGGATTACAACTGCATCCAGCCCCTAGGTTTTTTTTTTTCTTTTAATTTAAAGGAGTAAGATATGCAGGTCTAGTTGTCAGTATATTGTATAGCCAGCACCCATTTTCCAGAATTTCCATTCCTGCCCCATGATCATCTGCTGAGAATGGAACTTGAGATTTCATCAGCAAGGCACAAATACTATGCCCACAGACACAGAGCGCTATACTAGCACGTTATGCTAGTCATGTTACGCTAGTCACGTTACTCTGTCATATTACGCTAGTCACACTAGTTATGCTAGCAGCTTTTTGGTCGGCCGTGGGGCTTGAACTCTGGGCCTGGGCACTGTACCTCAGCTCTTCAGCTCAAGGCGAGCGCTCTACCACTTGAGCTACAGCGCCACTTCTGGTTTTCTGGTGGTTTATTGGAGATAGGAGTCTCACGGTCTCTCCTGCCCGGGCTGACTTTGAACCTTGATCCTCAGATCTCAGCCTCCTGAGTAGCTAGGATTACAGGCATGAGCCACCAGCGCCCGGCTGCTAGCAGCTTTTTCAGCCACAGAGCATCAAATTTTAAAGCACCTTTCTATTTTTTAATTTGTCTCAGAATATTCAGAAATATTACTAAGCCCAGGTGGACTCAAGCGCGATGGTTGTCCCATGGCCACTCTGACCCAGAGCACCTGGCTGTGTTCCTGGGCTCCATCAGCAGCTTCCCAACAGGCCTGTGTTTCAGGGTGGGGGTCGAACACCTGGCTGAGCCATAACAGGCCTGTATTTCAGGACGGGGACCGAACGCCTGGCTCAGTCCAGTAGGATGTGCCCTTTCTACTCTGCTGATCTCCATCCCGCTGAGGTCCCAGCTGGGGCAGAGGATTCCTTTTGTCCAGCACCTGATGTCCCTGGCTGTGGTGGAGGCAGTGCGGTCCACGCCCAAGTATCAGGTATGTACAGTACAGCCGGTTCCCTTTACAGGCCTTTCGGGCATGTGGAACGTGGCTTGTTATTTGGAGTGTATGTTTGCATCATTGGTGCATTCTTTGCATAAGTCAGCACCAAAATGATCTTGGGGTTTTGTTTTGTCTTGTGTTTTTGTTTTTTTTTTGTCACTACTGAAGCTTGAACTTAGTGCCTTGCATTCTTGCTAGGCTTTTTCCACTCAAAGCTGTGCCACTTGAGCGACACCTTCACTTAGGGCTTTTTGCTGGAGATAAGAGTCTCTTGGATTTGCATGCACTTCATGGCCCAGATCTCAGCCTCCTGAATAGCTAGGATTACAGGCATGAGTCACTGGCACTTGGTGGGTGAAAACATTTTTAAGCCTGAGAACAGGGTTAAATTAAATGTCTGTTTATCATCTTCATGGCTTTGACTTTTACCTTGAGCCTATCAGTTCATTCACTGTGCATTCTCTGAGCTCCTGCTGTATGCAGAGGCTGTGCCAGGTGCGCGGACACAGGCTGGAGGCAGGTGGGGAGCTTTGCACCCATGGTGCCCCGAAGCAGCGCCCAACACAGCTCCTGCCCTTCCCACATACAGGTGGGTCTCACCATACGGAGTGACTTTTATTTTGATTTGCAGTTGTTTTGGAACAGAGCCCATTCGGCCACATGGATCAGCTATCAGAAGGTTGACATAGATTCCATCGTGCAGGTTCCCATCTTGTATGGCCTTCACTGGGTGCCAACTTGTCCTTAGCTGGATGTCACCGTCAGTGCACAAATCAGGGCCTTTGAGCGCCTACCAGCAGCCCTGCTGCTCCTTAGGTCCTGGGCCTCCCTGCTGGGCCTCAAACCTTTCCCTTTTTCCACACATTCCTCCCTCTCTGCATCATTTTTAGGGTTAAATTCAGGGCCCTGTGCTGGTTAGGCACTTGACCCTTGCCATCCCTGGTCCCTTTACTTTTTAGTTTTATTTTCAGATAGGTTCTCACACTTTTGTCGAGTGCCTGAGACCTCAGTCCTCCTCTCTCCGCCTCCTGAGAAGCTGGGATTATAGACATGCACCACCATTTCTAGATTCTCTCTCTGCATCGTGTGTGTTTGTATGCATCCTTTGAGGCCTAGCTCAAGTGCCCTTCCCTGATTTCCCCAGCTGAGCCTCTTCCCTCCTGCAGGATCTTAATGCAGGTTGCTTTGAAGCAGAGCTGCATGTGCCCCATTCTGTTTCCCACAGTTCCCTTCAAAGAGAAGTTCTCTTTGAAGACAGGATTTCTTTTACATCCCCCCCACCCCAGCTACTGACTGCAGTTCTTTATACATCCAAGGATTGTAGCATCTGTTGGAATAAATGATTGAGGAAAGGAAAATGAAGTGCATAAGCTTCTTGTAGGGAGAGAACCCTGAGGGTCCTTGAACTTGATTGGAACTCCATGGGGGTGGGGGAATACAGAGACAATTCATGCCCATCATTCACAAGGCCAGCATCTTCAGAATGTGATTTTGTTGATGAGAAACAAATGGGGACAAGGGAAAATGCTGAGTTTATGTTACATTTGTTCTAGAATATGCCTCTTAACCTCCTAACCCTATCAGGTACTTTAATATTAATTTGTCCCCCAAAAGTGATTAGCTCTCTGAAAAAAAGAGAGAGCATAAGGCCCATGTTCTGTTAGTTTTAGAGTATTCTGCTTGTCTTCCTTTTTGCTGGATGACTTCATCAGGCCTCTCTATGCCCTGATACTGCTTTATTAATGTATGGGTTTTCTTTTAGGATATCAACTTACGAGTAAAGTGGCCCAACGATATTTATTACAGTGACCTCATGAAGATTGGTGGAGTTCTGGTTAACTCAACACTCCTAGGAGAAACATTTTATATACTTATTGGTAAGTTTTTAAGCCTTTCCACACCAGCATTTTTTTTAGATTAATAAAGAACAAAAATTCAAATGGCGCACGCATGCATGCACGCCTGCCCAGGCAGGTGATGTGCAGAGAGCCTTTCCTTTGAGCGTTCCAGGGTGATGTGTTTGTGTAGAGGGCCTGATTGGCTGAAAGCCCTCCCCATGGTCCACACTTCCTGTCTGTGGCCATGGAAACACCAGATGGATACCTCCAAAAATAAGTATTTTTTTCTACCTTTCTCCCCCCCCTGTTTTGATTCCAATCTGAAATGTGAAAATAAACAATAAGAAAGCTAATTTTAAAAACAGTTCTGCCACTGGCCTTGTATTTGTAGCCTGACCTTTGCAGTTTGAAAGATTGCCTTGTTGTAACCTTCCAGGCCTGCTCCAGGCTGACCGTGGCTAACCAAGGTGGGGTGAAGAATCCCATGCTTCCACTCAGCCCAGGCAGATCAGGCAAGGAATGATTCAGAGGCAGCTTGAGAGGTTTGTGGGTCCCTGGCTATTCCACAGCCAGCCTCCCCCAAATGCCACACAGTCTAATGGGAATTCAGAAATCAGGACCAGACAGAAAAACACTGCATGTGTTAGAAATGCCAGCTGAAGAACACAAGGCTCGTGCTGCCAGCGGTTTCCAGCTGGCATGTGACTGGACCTTTCCCCTTTCCCTTTTCCTCTTTTTTTTCTTTAATCTTTCATGCTGGTAGTAGGGCTGGAACTCAGAGCTTGAGTGCTATCTCAGCCTTTTTGCTCAAGGCTGGTGCTCTGCCACTTGATCCACAGCTTCACTTCTGGCTTTTTTGGTGGTTAATTGGGGATAAGAGTCTCACAGACTTCCTGCCCAGGCTGACTTTGAACTGCAGTCCTCAGATCTCAGCCTCCTAAGTAGCTGGGATCACAGGCATGAGACACCAATGCTCTGCCTATAACCAATATATTTTTTTTTAATCACGGCTATTTTTAAAAGTGTCTTCCCATTATATTTAAATGCTTCCCTTTATATATTGAAAATGGTGAACACTTACAGAAAAACTGCGTTACCACATGACTTCAGTTGTGACTTCTGCTGGGATTTTCTCCCTAGAGGAAAGGAAAACATGACAGCCTTGTGGCCTACTTCTTGCTGTCTTCTTGTCCTTGGTAAAGACACCTGAGTTTGGCCGGGCCCCTCTGCCCACTGCAGGGGCCAGCCGTGCTCTGAGGAAGGTGATGGTAGTTAACCAGCTCGGAGGAGCCCATGCACATGCTCCTCTGGCACACTCCTTACAGGCTGGCTTTTGAAACCTGAAAAAGCAAAACCACGCTCAATGCGTCCATCTTCTTACCGGCAGTGTCTCGTCAATACCCAGGGCTTCCAAGGAAAAAGTACTAAGAGATATATTCAGGAGATGTGCCAGGACACAATCTTTGAACCCAGAGTTTACCCATGAAGCCTTGGGTCAAATTCTGTGTCTTCAAGCTTGTGTTCTATCATTCCAGTAGGAGAAGAAACGAGATTGTGTTTTGTATCGGCTTAGGGCAGAGCTACAGTTCTTGGCTAGACCACAGGGGCAATCATTAATTCAGAAACAACACTAAGAGGTTCCATTGAATGTGGCTCTGTTTCTATTTTTCTTCCAAATTGTTTGTGGGATGGTTGAGATGGCCCCTGCTTGAACAAGAATAATAGAGGAGGAGCGTAAAGGAAGGTATGTTACACTCTCAGTGGCCAGAAAGGAAGACAAGGAAACAGTAAGTTTATAATCAAAACTGGAACCTTAGGGCTGAGGATGTAGCTCGGTGGTAGAGCGCGATGCTGGGTACAGTCCTCGCCCCTCACCAACACCAGCAGCAGCAAGCTCTCGCTTCTCACAGGCTGTGAAGTTGTGATACCTTGGAAATATCAAGCTGCTCATTCTCTCACTTTTGTGTCTGTGTGCGCGCGCACAGGCTTTGGATTTAACGTGACCAACAGTAACCCTACCATCTGCATCAACGACCTCATCACAGAACACAACAAGCAGCATAAGACAGCACTGAAGCCCTTCAGAGCTGACTGTCTCATCGCTCGGGCTGTGACTATGCTGGAGAAACTGGTGCACACGTTTCAGGACGAAGGACCCCAGAGCATTCTTCCCCTCTATTATAAGTACTGGTTGCACAGGTTGGTGCTTGCTTAGTCTTCATTCTTTTAAATTTCCTGTATTTTTTACTTCATTAAGTCAGTAGTTCAGTGTCTTAAAATGAGGGACTGAGGGATGGAGCACTGACCTGAGTGTGTGTGTGTGTATGTGTGTATGTGTGTATGTGTGTGTGTGTGTGTTTGCACGTGCCCTTGGGCTTTCACTCCACCTGAGTGCTGTCCATGAGCTTTTTCGGTTAAGGCTGCCACTCTCCTATTTGAGCTATACCTCTACTTCCAGTTTTTTGGTGAATTGGAAATGAGAGTTTTATAGACTTTACTCCTTGGGCTGGCTTTCAAACTGCGATTTTCAGATCTCAGCCTTCTGAGTAGCTAGGATTACAGGTGTTAGCCACTGGTACCAGACCACATAATTATTTTCACCTCCATGATGGAGAAGCCAAGTGGACGCCATTAATGATGTTTCTGTCTCAAGGTTGCACTTTTAGAGGATGGTGATGGGAGAGTGATTCTGTAGGAGATTGTTCCTGTTCTCTGGAGACACATACTAAAATCTTTAATATTTAAATAGTCAAAATATTTCATATTTAAAGTGTCAAGATAACTGCGAACAGTGGCACATACCTGTAATCCCAGCTATCCAGGAGGTGCAGACAGGCTCATGAGTTAGAGGTCTCAAAAACAAAATACAATTCTGGGTTCAATTCTCAGTATCGCAGAAAAAGAAAGGCAAAGTGAGAGTAGAAGGGGGGAAGAGAGGAGGGAGGGAGAAAGAATTTTGGAATCTGAAACATCTTTAAAAGATGGGGAAATGCGTGTGGCAAGAAAGAATGCAAATAACGTATTATTTGGTGAGAGTTTCAATGAAGAGAATATGAAGTTTATTGTACTCTTCTTTAAACTTATTTGTAGGTTTGAGCTGCTTATAAAGCTACTTATCTGTTTTGAACATTGTTAAGGATATAACTTTTCAGGTACATGTGAAAAATCTTCAAAGGAAAAAAACAGCAGGATCAGAATGAGTTCCCTTTGTGGTTCATGCAAAACAGCTTTCTTTTACAAGATAAAATGTTCCCTTTCAACTCAGCCTACATACCCTCAGTCTCAGCTATAAACCTAGTGTAATTTAGTTGTTATTAAAACAATTCTCTTAGATGGCACCTGTGGCTCGTGCCTGTAATCCTAGCTACTCAGAAGGCTGAGATCTGAGGATTGTGGTTTGAATACAGGCCAGGCAAGGAGGTCCAGGAAACTCTTACCTCCAATTAACCACCAAAAAGCCAGTAGAGCTGTGGCTCAAGTAGTAGAGCACTAGCCTTGAGCAAAAAAGCTCGGGGACAGCACCCAAGTCCTGAGTTCAAACCCTACTGCTAGCACTAAAAAACAAAAAACAATTCCCATGAACCAGATGAGGTCCAGTGTCAGGCTGGGCTGCACGTAATCTCAGGCCCTCTGGGTAAGGTAATCACTCAACTTCTTGTCCCCAGCCTTCCAGTGGTACATAACCAGTGACCCAGTATTCTTGGTTTCCAGTGGTCAGCAAGTCCGGCTGGGGAGCACCGAGGGGCCACAGGTATCCATCGTGGGCCTCGATGATTCCGGGTTCCTGCAGGTTCATCAGGAAGACGGCAGGATCGTGACAGTGCACCCAGATGGCAACTCCTTCGACATGCTGAGAAACCTCATTGTGCCCAAGCAGCGGTGGTAGCAGCAGCGCAAGCCTTCCACCCCAGCGCGGTACAGGCTGCCTCCTCCGATGCTCCAGCTGGCTGGCTGTGAGCTCAGTGCGCTGCAGGCATTCTGCTTCTGCTCCCTCCCCAGCGGCGACCGGAAAGCTCACGGAGACCTGTGGATTTCTTCTCCTTCATGTCATTTATTTGTTAACTCTTTCTCTTCTTTTTTTCCCCTGGGTTTTTAGGTTTGTTTTATAGTTGCCACTTTATGGGCTGTTTGAAGATGGGTCTGGGTGGAAGACTGACAGGTAGATTTAGTTTAGGTAAAGTTGGTGAGACTTTAGGTATGAAACTGTTCTCCCCCTTTGGGCTTGGATTTGTGTTTCTTGGGGGGAATTTTTTAATGGTGGAAATCACAGGTGGAAGCCTTCACCCTGCCACACTGCTAAAAGAAAACAATCAAAAGATGGCCAGGCCAGCGTGACGCACAGGCGCAGCATCGCCGCTCGCGCGCATCCAGAGCGGCATCTTCCACCAGAGCATACCGACAGACAGGTGCTCAGGCCTTGTTTTCTTTGGGGGTTAATAAGGAAAAGAAAAAGGTGGACTTCTAGAGTTAAGTCAGCTGAGGAAGTCGGACCACACATCTAAGTGCCACAGAGCTGGGACTAGCTGGCGGGGCTGCATGAGCTCACCGAGGAAATCCCTGCCTTCGGCATTATTCTAGGAGCCCTTCTTCTCATGTTCTGACTTACTGCATGTTCTGAGGAAATAGGCCTCATTCCAGACCCACACAGCCTCATGGGTATCTCCTGGAAGCAGGGATGGATGCTTGGCCCAAACACCGGCCATGCAAGGAAGGCAGCCTCGGCTCTCCGTGCAAATGTAGGAGCCCCAAAGACAGCACTGTGTGGAAGGAGCGCACAGCACCATGCCGGGTCACGACAGCCCAGCCACCACTATAGAGACAGCAGATGAGAGCCATGAGGGGTGCTGTCAGCGTGAAGGGGGTGCGTGTGCATGCTGTGTGTGCAATGTGTGCACATCTGTGCCTGCGTGTGTGCATGTGAGTGCTGTGGGTGTGCAGTGTGTGGAGCGAGCTCATGCTGTGTGTGGATGTGTGCACGTGCTATGTGTGCACAGGTATCCGTGTGCCTGTGTGCACATACCTGCATGTGTTTGTGTGCATGTGTGGCTTTACAAGAAGACGTTCAAAATCTGATGTGCTGGATGTCTCCGTGACAGAACAAAGGAAGCCGTTGCACACGTGCTGCCTGCTCCGTGCAGCACATGCACGCTCACAGTGGTGCCCAGACATCCCAGCCTTGAGGCCTGAACTGCCGTACCCTCCTCTCACTGCTGGCCCCTGCGGCCCCTCGGCTCTGGACAGAATCCGCATTGAGAACTAGCCCCGCCTGGAACTGCTGGGACTTACATAGTTAGGCTAATTCTAGAAGTTTGTGGTTTTCAGCATGAAAATCTGTCCACCTTTTAGCCAGGCATGGAAAGCCCACAGGAAGAAAAAAAAATAACATGTTCCATTAAGTACACCAACTGATACATGTTTTTAGAAATAGAACTTTAAAAGAACTTCAAAAGTCCCCCCCTTTTTTTAATAAGGCCTTTTACATCTCCCTGTCTCCCCCCAAAATCCACTTTCTAAATGTCCAGGTATTCGTATGGAATTAGTGAAGTTTAAATAAGAGCCCACCCATCCCACCCAGAATTACAGAATGAGCTCCCCCTCGGGAGGTCTGCAGAAGGTCTTCAAGGCGAAGATGTCCAGGCTAATGTGGCAAGTTCCACTTCTCCAACTTTGAATAGAAGGCAAACCATCTCTCAGAGCCAGAGTTTCTTTCTTACTTTGGGGGGTTATTTAATGGAAGACATGCCATGTTTTATTTTAAGCTGGAGGACTATTCTGGAAAATTCTGCTTTGGGGAAAAATGTTATCATTTGAATTCCCTTTCTGTAAACGAAAACGAAGGCGGCGTGGCTGTTTTGGAGTGGGTGGCGGTCCTGCACAGGGGAGGCGCACTGAAGGGGCCTCACCTGGACCAGCACCCATTGTTGCGAGGGAGACAGACTCCAGGCTGTGTGATACGTGACATTTCCTGGAAACCTGGATTCTCCTCACGTGAACCAAAGACTCTTTAGTCTGCATGAAGGAGTGCAGGCATTGGACGATGCAGGTCCAGTTGCCTGTTATGTCACTCCCACACTCTGTAGTGGGGCGAGGTGGGGTCTAATTTTGGGTACCCTGAATCTCAGATCTCAAGGAGCTTTAAAGTCTTAAGGGAAACTTTTTTTTGGGGGGGGGTCTGGTTGTGGAGCCTGAACTCTGGGCCTGGGCGCTGTCCCTCAGCTCTTCAGCTAGCGCTCTACCACTTGAACCACAGTGCCCCCTCCAGCTTTTTTTCTTTTTGCTTATGTGGTGCATACAAGGCAAGCGCTCTATCACCGAGCCACCTTCCCAGCCCTTAAGAGAAACTTTTGTCTTCTCATAATCTTTAAAATATGGCCACTACACTCAGGACCTGTGAGCACTTTTCAGTTTGGATTATTCATTGTTTAAAGGCTCTGCATTGCTGTATTGGGAACAGGTAAGTCACCCCTCCATCCCCTGAACTCAAATAGGACACAGCAATAACTGCATGGCCCCAAGGCTGGGAGGGAAGCTGGAGGGTTCATCCTCTGGCGCTCACTGCATGGCACCTGTGACCTGACCAGAGCAGGTACCTGCCCAGGCCAGGATGCAGGGCGGAACGCTGGCCAGTAGGAAGAGCAGCAGCCCTTCCGCAGCCCCTCCCACAGCCCTGGATGCGCCGGCCTGAGACCCGCCCCCCCCCACTGCCGTGCAGGCAGACATCACTGTGGTCTTTGAGATGAATTTAAATGTAAACTTTGGCTTTTTTTAAGGCTGTTCAAAGAATCTTCTCTGAAAAGAATAATTTTAAACCAATGCCTTTAATAAAAAAGCAAGTCTACCAAAATAAAACTTTTCAGATTTTTCTCTATGGTTTGGGCTCATTCTTGTTTTTGCCACACATTTTGGTTTTAAAGATATAAGATTACTTTGGGTTATGGTATTTTTTATTTAAAATTTAAATGCATTTTCTTTACAAAAAAATGTTCTACATAATAGGAGTGTATATTTCTAAGTACTAAGAAGCTTAGTGTGTTGCAGTTTTAGTGCTTTATTTTTAGGCAGTTTGTGTCAAAAAAAAAATTATTCCAGAGGATAAAGGCCCTAACGTGAAAACAAACCTTTAACTGAGATGGGGAATAGAGTGACCTGTCCTGTCAATATTCTGTTCCTTGAGAATTTCTCTTATTTTGTGAAAACTACTGCTCAACTCTTGTCAAAAAAATTTTGTCCATTGTGGGGCTTGAACTCTGAGCCTGGGCGCTATCCATGAGCTCTCAAGGAGAGTGCTCTACCACTTGAGCCACAGCACTTCTGGTTTTCTGGTGGTTTATTGGAGATAAGTCTCACAGACGTTCCTACCCAGGCTGCCTTTGAACCACGATCCTCAGATCTCAGCCTCCTGAGTAGCTAGGATTACAGGCGTGAGCCACTGACACCAGCTTGTCAAAAATGTTTTTGACTCGATTTGAGCCTTCTAGATCCTATTGGAGTGCAGAATCAACCTTACCGATTCATTTTAGATAGCATTTATTTGAAATGTGGTTTTGATTCTGTTCTATTGGTAGCAGCTATAGCCTACCTCAGCTGTCTCAAGAGGACCAGTAAATGAGAGAACTTGAGTAGACTTTATACAGGGGCCGTTGAGACCTACCCCAGCACCCCCCACACCCCCACACACACATCTGGGTGGAGAGGGGATCCATTGGCTGGTGATACTTTGAAAAGGTTGGAAGGGTGGGGGTAGGGAGAATTCAAGTTGTACAGATTTCCTCAGAGCCCTTCATACCCTTCACACAGAAGTATGAAAGGAATGGCTTTTCTAGAATAGGGCTTCCAGGAAATATAAAGGAATTCCTTTCCCTGGGAGGCCCGAAGCAAGCTTGAATTGGGCTTAGGTCTCAAATCCCTTTGATTGAGCATTTTTGTCAACATGGTACATGTTAGGGCCCACTACCAGTTTTTTTTTTCTTTTTTGTCAAAAGAGGGGCATATTTATTGAAATGCTCCCTTTCCCCTGACAGAGCCTTACAGAAGTCAAGAAAAGCTAGCCCGGCTTGGATATGCAGAATCTTGAAGGTGAAGGTAACAATATAGGTAGCCATGGTAACTGCAACTTTTCAAAGGGCAGCCGGCTTGCTTTTGTGAGGAATCTTCCTTTTCTACCTTCACAATTCTAAGCAAACTGTGGTGTTTATTTGAGCAAGGAAAACCACCAGTACACGTTTTATTTTGCCAGTACATTTGTGCATTCATTTTCAGTCTATTTACATTTTCATATTGAATCTGTAATAGTCATGGGTTGTTTGCTTTTTTTTCCTGCAGTTACCTTTGCTATTATAAAGTGCTCTAGAAGTCGATTGTTCTTGTAAACAGTACCAGAGGTTAATAACCAGGTAGATGCTAAAACATTGCAGAATTTCATTGAAAAATTTGGTCATGTCTCTCACTAGTCAAACCTACACCTTCCTATGATCATGACTTAATTATGAAACTCACGATCATAGAGCAAACCCGAGACATAGTGAAGGTGTACACACCCCTGTAGGATGCAGGGCAGGTGTGCACATACACCGTCACCCAGTCCTTGCCATGAATGACACCCCTAAATTTGCCAGTTTCCACCCTCTGCCATAAAGCCCTCCCTGAGGGACGTATGGAGGCGTCTTACTTGGAGAACACTTAGTTACACTTTGATTCTAGAAGGCTGAGTTTAACCTCTTTTCCTTCCAAACAGTGGAGATAGTTTCTTAAACTGGTAGTGTTTTTTTTTTTTTTTTTGCTTTGTTTTAGGATTTAGTGTTTGTAGTGTGGAACAAATGTCAAAAAGGTTTTGGTTCTGGTTCTATCCAAGTCAGATAAGTTTTTTATATGGTGACATTTTTTTTTAAAGGAAAAAGTAAAAAAAAAAATGAAACAAGTAATGGAAGTTTATTATTTTGTTAAACACTGCTGGTGCTTTATAAAAGAGTCTCTGTTCACCTGGTACAGCGCCATGCTCGAGGAAGCTCTCTTGCTATGTAGAAAATGGCTAACGTCTATGTCATTCTCATTGCACCTGACACGCTTCTTGCCACAAGGTGCAGTTCATGGACGCTCGCCCATATTGCACATGCCATGTAACTATATTAGCACTACTTGTAACAAAACACAAGCCTAGAGAATCACCGGTCTGTGAGGGCCTGGGCCTCTTCACCACGGGATTGCGCTGGACGGGACCCTTCTCATAAAATATCTGCCTATATATATCTTCTCGCATTTAATGCTTATTCAATATATTCTGAAGGTGCTATTCCTGGTGTCTTCAGGAGTTGGGGGGGGGAAGGTAAAAGCTGCTTGATAAGAGCTTGGATATTCACCCCTCAGTCTTGGCTTATTGATTTTGCAGTGAAGGATTCATTTTTTTTAATGAGATTTATGAGTGAATTCTAAAGACCACGGAGTTGTTGTGATTGAGGGGGCGTGATCACATTTTTCCTTTAGGGAATCATCAAAAAGGGCTTTGAGCCAGGCACTGGTGGCTCATGCCTGTAATCCTACCTTCTCAGGAGGCTGAGATCTGAGGATCATGGTTTGAAGCCATCCTGGGCAGGAAAGTCTATGAGGCTCTTATCTCCAATGAACCACCAAAAAGCAAAATGAGCTGTGGCCCAAGTGGTAGAGCACTAGCCTGGGATAGTGCCTAAGCCCAGAGTTCAAGCCCCAGGGCTGGCACAAAAACAAGGGAAGGGACGGGAGTCTCCCTCCTTCCGGCCTGCAGTTTCCTGAAGTGTGTATTTGCAGAGCTGCCTCGCCTAATCCATTACTTGGCATTAGAACAAGGCAAGATGCCTTAACTGTGATTCCAGACTGAGGGCAACAGTGTCCCCCAGACACAGGGTCACCTGAGCTTGCTGCTTGGACAGGAAGGTATTGAGCTGAATCCTCTGGGAAACCAGGTTGGGTGGTTAACCTCTCCCCAGCCTCCATCCTCTCCACGGGCAGCATGGATGACCTCTTAGGTTCTAAAAAGCTGTAGAGTTCTATTAAAATAGTTGTCTCTGTATAAATTAATTCATCTCATGCATACGCAGCTCGCCCCTCTCCACCCCTGGACCTGGTGAGATGGGAACGAGGGAAGGCCGGCCTATGGCTTCTCCCTGCGCTCCGCCCTGCACCCAGCTCACTTGCATTGGTGATGATGGCTGGGCCGGTTTGGCGATGGCCAGGCAGGTTTGGCAGTGATGGCCCAGCAGGTTTGGTGACGATGGCTGGGCAGGTTTGGTGGTGGTGGCCTGGCACATCACCTGCATTGGTGATGGCTAGGAAGGTCACCTGCATTTGTGGTGATGGCCGAATGGGTCACGTGCCATTGGTGATGATGGCTGGATAGGTTTAGTGGTGATGGCAGGGTGGGTCACCTACTACTGGTGATGATGGCTGGGTAGGTTTGGTGGTGATTCAGTGGTGATGGTTGGGCAGGTCACCTGCCGTTGGACAATGGTGGACAGGTTTGGTGGCAACTTGGTGGTGATATCCAGACGGGTCATCTGCCGTTGGTGATGATGGACAGGCAGGTTTGGTGGTGATTTGGTGGTGATACCCTGACGGGTCACCTGCCGTTGATGATGATGGCAGACAGGTTTGGTCGTGACTCGGTGGTGATGGTCAGGCAGGTCACCTGCTGCTGCTGATGGACCGGCAGGTTTGGTGGTGATGGCCAGGCGGGTCACCTGCTGTTGGTGATGGGTCACCTGCTGCTGCTGATGGACAGGCAGATTTGGTGGTGATGGCCGGGTGGGTCACCTGCCGTTGGTGATGATGACGGAGGCGCCCAGGTAGTGCGGCCGCGGGGCACCGGGTGGCGAGGCGGCGGCGGGGTCCGGGTGCCGGGGCCGCAGC